AGTCGTCTTCTTCTCAATTATTTCCTGGAACTCGCATGTTCGCTTGTATTGGCAATTGATCAAGTCTTCAAACGCTTGCCGTTTCCCTTGCTGCAGGAAAAATGAGACGACAGGCATCCGATTGTACCTTGTCTGTGGAATCAAGATACGCTCGCTCACCTCGTCACCTCACCTGTGCCACGTATATACATACATTATACTTTATGCAGAAGAAATAAACATTAGGTTTCGCGACATCCCAGCCAGACTGATTGTATTCGCTCTTGTTTCCAGACGCTTTCCAAAGTTGTGGTCAAAGTCGACAGCTCCAAACTTTTCTTTCAGGCACCTAAAATCAAATCTGAAACAGACACGGAGACCTTGTCCTCCCGTAACTCCAAACCGCAAGCAAGTGTCAAGTTGTCCTTCGGAAGGGCGGGGCGGTGATGTAATGCCCACTGTCTACGAAGACTTATCGAAGATGCCATGATTTCGTGAAAGCGAATTACCCACAACAGCCGTAGAGCAAACTGCTGAAATGTAATCATATCCGCAATCCGTCGAATTCCTCCCGGCGCTCGGCTCAGAGACACACACTCGCTTGAAATATTTTTGTTCCAGTCTTTCTGTATGGGTTCTTTTTGAACATATTTAGCTACGAATCCTTGGTGGGCGCAGAAGGGCTCGAAATATTTTCTCAGGTCAGAATCCTTGTTGATTAGAATAAGCCGCCAAGACCGCAGGGCAAATACCGAATGAAAAAAGGTCCTGTGCGTGCATATCGTGCCTGAAAAGTAAGAATTTGCTTGGCCGTGGTAATAAGCCAGATTTCTATACGACGTAGAAAACCGAGTTGTCTAGACAAGCCAATCGGGGACGTCCAATCACTTACTCCTGAGCTGACTTCATGTGATTTTGAGGTTGAATTATACGCATGGTCTCTGAAATATAGTGACAGGTACAGCACCATTGTACTGCTGAAGAAAGGCCTACTTTGGTAGAAAGGCTGTGTGGGCGAGATATCTGATGGGTGCTGACTGACCTTACGGTTTGATTGGTTCCGCGAAAACTGCCGTCGTGGTTGACCTTGGCGAGTACTTATCACGCACAAATTACTTAAGGGCTTATCACTATGTGTTGCCACATACTTTCTTCCAAAATTGCAAGCTGAATTAGCTAGTACTCCAAAGTTTATTTGCCTAGTCAATTGATCAATTTTTATTGATTGAACTAACCAATAGACACCTCCTGGTCCTTTAAAGGAACAAAATCCAAATCGAGAGGTGGGAAATTACCTCGTGCTTATCCATGGCTGATTTAAAAGATATGTTACGGATCAAGATTTTCATTCTAATCAGTATGTCCTGTCCTCGTAACTCGCCTTCTGCCTAGGTCCCGTTTAAGAATATTTAGGATTCAGCGATGAGACCCATGTAAACGTGCCCGAAGTCATCTTCGGCAATGGTACCTTTTTGATTATTCATCAACAGGCCTCTACTCTGATAAAAGGTAGGGTTGAGTAGCAGAACAGTAACCAATACACAGTAAGTGTGGGGAAAGGGCGCCCAGACGTCAAGATTCGCAGTTTACTTCTGTCAAGGGCTTAGGGGGGAGGACGGGGTGGAAACATCTGACAGTTAAGCTACGTTTTTGTATCGTCGTTACATGACAGCTGGGATCATGAATGTTGGTTTCACCTTCCGCCAGAGACGCCCTAGGCTATGTACAAAATGTCCTTGGGAGCACATAGTTGCGTTGGCTTTCCGTATGCCAAGTGCTTCTGTAAGTAGCAGTATCCGCCGCAGACACATAGTCTCTAGCCAAAATTTTATAGATTACCTTCAGCCTGTAGCGGCCTAAGTCGTGGTTGTGCTTAGATCACTACAATCATCAGGCCGAATCCCCAGGTAGAAGGTAAAAGGCATAAGGCACCTGTGACGGAGATTTACTATGTACAGAGCTCCCTATTGCTGTCCCAGGCGGCAGCGACCATTGGCGAAGCCAGGGCTAGTGTTGACTGCGTCCAGCCAGCCCTGAAAGAGCATCTGACAATGGTGGCAGCTGCTTAAGTAGGATTGCGAAGCGAGTTCGTGGTTTGCTATTGGTGTGTTGCAATTTTCCCGAGGGGATTTCGCCTGCAAAGGCCCCCTGCTGCGTTGGCAAAAGAGGTGGCCTGTTAAATAGCCCTTTGGAAGCCGCGACAACTTGGGCACGCGTTTGCGTGCATGTGTGCGCACGTATGTGTGAGACTCAACATCGGTCAAGTGATCTTCAGGTCAGCAAATGGGAACAGCCGCCTGCGAAGGCACAGGACGAGCATTGAAAGGGGGAGGAGCATTAATGGTCGTCCATCAGGAGCCCTCTCCCCGTACACTTACTCTTTAGTGGTTGTTTAAACGTTTGCTTCTCTACCCTTCCTTATACAAGTGTATAGGCCTGGTGCTAAATAATCGAAAGCCTATCTATACCGAAACTGACTTCGATTCAGTTTTCTTAGCTTCTTCGCATCTCTTTCTTTGACTCGGGACGGCACATTATTTACAAGTTGCGTTGTTACTTTTGCATTCCCTCATTACCGCCAAAGGGTCAGGCGTAGTGAGGATCTGAATATCGATGGTGTGACAAATTTGCGTCGCATTTATCTCAGCATCTCTTTCCACAAATTTCATGTTCCGATAGCAAGGTGGACTTACTGCAATCGGTGATGGGTGTTGCTCTGTTGCAGGCAAAACTAAGTAGTCCGTCAACGTCTTACACCTCAGTTCCGCCAAAACCTAAGCCTAGGGGAATAAAGTGCGAAACCACTAAAATTGAGAGAGAGTCGCAAAGACCGCAGCTGGAAGAATGCATTGTCGGATCGATCCAACTTTTCAGTTGGCAGGCCTCCAAACCACAATCATTGGCGCGTCATTAGAAGTTCGAAATGTACGTTTGCTTTTTAGGATAATTTAGCTAAGCCTGGATCAGCGCTAGGTCAACGTCAACCGCTCTTCCTTCAACTAGAAATCGCTGACTGGAAATGGGATTGGTTCAAGTGATTGATGCACGATTGACCTGCACCTAACGCGTACCACACAAAATGGAGTTGCTCGTTGATTAACGTTCACTGATCGCTAGCGGAACTCATTCGCCTCGCTCTGCCTTAGGGCTTATTCTTCAGCCCCGACAGCAGCCGCACAGCGGCTAGTGGTCTAGACAGATAGCATTGCCGGCAAAAGCAAGGGAGACTGGAGTGGCGAGTTCTGGCAGATTAGCTTATCATCAGCCAGTCATACTCGACCCCAAGTGGAACCCCACCCGAGACTTGAACCCGCGGCCTTTTAATCACAAGTCGTAAGAAGAAGACGATTCCATCGCTGGGACAATACATTTATTCGCCTGACGTTTCGACATCCATCGCAGATAAATCATCAGGGACATAAGCAAAAAGCAGTAGCAGACACGGGCCATAAGTCTGGAGTGGCCTTCCCAGTCCCTCTTGACTTTACCGACAATTATATCTGTCCAGACTACGAGAAGTTGGCGGGTCTCGAGAATGAACTCCAAGGCAAAGCGGGACGATTGAGTTCCGCTAGCGATCGATGAGTGTTAGTCAACGAATTTCAAAATGTCCCGATCTAAACCAGCAAGAAGACGAGCCCGTAGCTTTATGCATAGAGTGTTAGACTTCTGATAAAATGGTTGTGCGTTGAAGTTTCGGGTAGGGCACCACTTGGGGTTGGGTATGACTGTCTGATAACGACTATTGTCGGAAAATGGTCATGGCCGGAAATGGTAATTCCAGTCTCTCTTGTCTTTACCGGAAATCCTATATGCAATGTAGTAACACGGCCGACAGTTTGATCGTCGTTACCTACAATTTCCAGCAGGTTGCTGCAGGGATGGTGACTTGCGCATAAAGTAAGTTACAATGGTATTGCATGAGAAGAAGACGACTCGATCGTTGGGACAATACGTTTATTCGCCAGACGTTTCGACATCCGTCGCGGATCCATCATCAGAGACAGTAGCAGAAAGTGCAACGATTTGCCCAATCCATATTCGGTGCTGGGACTCAATTTGGCCAAAGCAAGTCGCCAGTTTGGGAATGGACAGGCCACCAGGTCATCCCACGCCAACACCGGAAGGCCAGATGGCTGAGCAAACATCACGCCCGAGTCCCTCATCGTACGGTAACACCGGGGAGCCAGACGGCCGAGCAATCATCATGCCCGAGCTCATCGCCCGTGACGAAAGTTCAACAGGTCAGAGCCCGCGTGCCGTCCAACAAGCAACGTGGCGAAAGTTCAACAGGTCAGAGCCCGCGTGCCGTCCAACAAACTATCCACGCGCTTGAAGGCAATTAACGTTAATTGTCGCTATATGTTTGCAGTAATGACTGTGTCCTATAAATTCTGCAGACTCCTGTGCATGTATTACCCGTTTCTGCTAGTGTTTTCTGCTAATGTCTCTGATGACGAATCCGCGATGGATTTCGAAACGTCAGGCGAATAAACGTATTGTCCTAGCGATCAAGTCGTCTTCTTCTCAATTACTTCCTGGGATTCGCATGTTCGCTTGTATTGACAATGGTAGTACACTTCTTCCTTATTCACCTTGTTCACGTGTCATGACAGAGTCAATAGGAACGGTGGCGGGATCGTGCGTAGCAGCTGACAAGACTTAACAGTCCACCTATGCGTTTCACATGCACATTCTTGTTCGGCGCAAAGTGGACTAGGTTTTCCTACGTTAAGAAAGGGATGTGGCAGCTTGGCTGCCAACTGAATGGGAGGGCTATAGAGGCCACAATGAAAAGGACTTAGTTTAGTCTGACTTCCTGTCCTGAGATGAGGACAGGGTTGTGACAAAATTCCAAGCCATTGCTTTTATCGTGTCCTGATAATCGTCAAAAGCTCGTCGGTGTGTTTATTAGTGGGTAATATGCGCTGAGTGCCGTAGGGGACGTCGGCTCCAGAACGCATCACCCTCTCTCTTCCCCCGCTCACAAGCACCGGTTCACTGTCTGAACATAGCAATCATCTGTGGGGATTGGGCGAAGGTTGTTCGTGCAACGTAAGTCTGCGCCTATGGGTGCGTAGCCCGCATAACACCTTCGTGTTGGTCCGGCGCAACCTACGCGTGGTCCGTTGTGTGGGAAGTATGGACACCATCACCACCATGTCGCACCCCTGCTTACCCGGTTCAAGCCTTGATCGTATAAACGGACTCTAACAATATCTTTACAAAATAACCTTTCTCCTCTCTCTATCTCTCCTCCTCTTCCAATAAACCCATCAACAATGTCGAAATCTACCTTTTTACAGAAAGAAACTGCGCCAATCAAGCGAGGAGAATCACCCTTTACCAATCCCCTTCCCGAAAAGGATTACCTGGCACCCTGGCGTAGTTGTCGGGCCAGTATGCTGTCCACCTCGAGCGACTCCAACGACAGTCCACTGAACCAGCGAGGGCCCTCTGCCTCCTCCCCCTCACCTACCTCGTCCACTTCAAGCAGTCCCCAGCGCAGTCTCCTCGGTCGAGGTTCTAATCTGCCTAAAAGGATGGGCAGTTTGGTGATCTTTCGTGTGCATGCCAGCATTACAGACGATGTCCAAAGTCTGGTTGAATTTATTGCTGCCTTATTGTCCGACCAGGAAGCGCCGGACTCTGCGTTCAAACCATCAGGCGGGAAACTCTCTTCGCCCAGCTCACTATCTTCAACCACTCAGGGTAGGCGTTCTCATTTTGTCTGGGACCGTTTTACGCTTTTTTACTTTGCATGCACTGCCTATCCATATACGGTATTGCTATTCTTGCCTTGTGACAATTACCAGCACCTCTAATTAAAACATTATAATGGAACAATTTCGGACCACGGCCAAGTCCATTTGATGTTGCTAGGGGGGACCAGGTCAACAGACCCATGAAAAGAGATCATGATTGTGGATACCATAAGGTCTTATCATTTTTCCCTAGGTAAGGCTTCATTGTTTTGGTGCTTTAGACAGTACCACCACAACGCAATTATTTATTACTCAAACATCTAAAGGTCCGTACCGGCGTGTTTCGCCAATCTTGTGCCAACGCATAACGCAGCTGCGAGGGGTTTGGCTTATAAGTGGGTTCCCCAGCGTTCCCCTGTCTCTTCTGGTACATGAATCCGTATTTTCTATCCTGCCTTGTTAAATTTTAGGGGAAACCAATGCGCAAAAAACAACCTTTTCAGGATAGATCCGAAAGTTGATATGAATATTTGAGCTGAGATCCATCATCAGCTGCTGTGGAATAAGCACGTAATATTCACAAGC